GCATTCCTGTGGTACCGTTATTACATAATTCATAATAATGCAATAGTTCATTCTTAGTGAACAGATACAACACAACATCGTTCTGAAGCAGCATTATTATTGTATAATTTCTTCATTTTTAATTTTATAAATCGATTTAAAATATTTATTAAGAAGGGCTCAGATTTGCAAACTTGAATTATATGAGTAAATAGCAAAACATCAAACATCATTAACTTCATTGAGATTACGTATGTGAGTAAAGAAAGGAGTGCTGCTCCTAAACTGTTCAACTTTAGTAGTCACAACAACAGTAGATTTCATTAATAGAATGTATTGTGCCTGGCAATGGACAAATGTTATCTATTCTGCAATAGGATGAGCTAATAAAGAGCCAGAAGCATCTCATCAAACAGAGTGATCCTGGAAGTCCTTAATTCTGCAAATCTCTTACTCACATGAGAAGTCTCATTGATGTGAATGACTGTACTTTTTGAAGCAGGAACTATTAATGTAAATGAAGGTTTGTAAAATCAGGCCCAAAATCTCTCCTAGTATTATGGAAAAAGTTACTCTATGTTAAGATTACTTTTAATAGATACTCTGTTTTCCAAATGAAGAAGTCAATGAGAGAACAAATTAAGAACTGAGACCTTGAGCTATGCAAAATACTAGCAAAATAACTGGGAAATTTAAAATATGCTGACAATTTTTCTCTAGTAAGACACTAAGATAGCAGTAGAAGAATTTCTGTATGGAAAAGAAGGACCATAAGTCTGCAACCCTTACACAGCCAGTAAAATTTACACATGTAAGCTGTTCCTCAGTAAAATTCAGTGGCCAAAGAAATGTTGCTTAGGGGAAATAAGCTTGCAGATTCATATCGTCACAACCATTATTAGAAAAGGTCTAAGGTGACAAAATTATGTGTATATTCTCTCAACAATTTTCTCTCGTTTCATATGCATTTCCCTGCTGTCTTTGTTCATGCACACATATATCATGGTAGAGTCGTGAGTTAGAAATGACAAGTCGTAGGTAACTCCAACAAGTGATTGTTCTTTTAGCAAATGCAGTTCTAGTACCAGTGCTGTCTCCAGCAGCAACCATATAGTACAGGGCATGAATTGTCTTGGACTGGAAGACCTCATTAGTTAACCAATAAGGAAGACCCCAAAACTGGCAAAGTTCCTTTTCTGCTGGAGTGGGGCCATTTTTATTGTTTACATTTCTTTGAGCATTAGAGGATGCAGAGGAAGGCCCAGAGGTGGAGGAAGTGGTGTTTGTTTCAGCCTTTAAAATACTAACTCCTCCTCCATGGTAGGAAAGCAAGAGATGTGCCAGACATGTCTAAAAGTCTGCTATTAGCTTGGGTTAGAGTGAGCGTCAGCCTAAGGAGTGCCATAATCCTCCAATAAAAGTGGAGGAACCCCTTTTCTGGCCTATCTTGGGCAGCTCTCCTGGCTAGAGCTGCAAAAATTCTCCTTCCTAAGCATCGCCCACCCCTTTTTCCTTTGGTAAAAAATGAAAGAAGAGACCGTATGGATTCAAGGGGAGAAAAGAATGAAAGTAGAAACCTTTGACAATCAGTGCCTTCCTTCCATTTCCAGGGAAGAGAACTCAAGATTAGTGAAATAACTCCCTGTTCCTTACTCATCTCACCACTAGCTTTTGGCACTCCGTCCTGAGTGAGGTGGGAAGGAGGGAAGAGTAGCTAGTGAAATGTCTAGGTAGGTAGGGGAGGAGAGAGTATAGAAGGAAATAGAGTGCTGGGGGAGGGAATGCAGGAAGGAGAAGGGAAAATTGCATAGTACAGAACTGTCAACATACATATCCTTTAGGAAATCCAAAACACTGGCAGAACAGACCCATATGGAAGAAAAGCAAACTCTGAGGACATAGTGTATGATGAGTTCAGCCTTCTACAGTGTACAATGCCACTTGCTCTAGCTCTCTGGGGAGCAGAGAGAGGAGCTGGGCTGAGAGGGCCAAATGTTTTGACATTCTCCTCATGGGGAAGAGAAGAAACTGTTTGATTTTACATGCTGGGGATGTGTGGCTTCAGTGCATGTTTGTTGATGTTTTAATAGACGTAAGTTGCCTCTGGTAAGTTTAAAACCTCCCGAGATGCAGCAAATTGCATCAGATGTTTCAACAGTTTCCAGGGGAAGGAAACTACACTCTCTGTTTTTATTTCTCATTTCTTCATCGGTGCAGTTCTTCCACCCTCATGAAGTCCTGGTGTTTCATTTACAAATCTATTGGTTGAGGAGCACGAGCGATGTGCAGCCCACCTCCACATCTCCATACATTACACCCCTCCATACACTTTTGCTTAGCTAGCTAGGGCCCTCTTTGGGGACAGGAACTCCTTTCAGATACATTTCTTCTCTTGTCCCCATTCTCTTCCCCATGGTCCATCCTGTCACCCTAAGATGATGCAACACCGCATCACCACTTGACTTCGAGACCCGTCACGACGACCACCAAAATTGGTGAGCTCCCCCTCATATTTTGATCTACTTTATCCACTGGCCGTGCTTTGCTACATGGTGGCAATTTGCACCTTCTCATCAGAGTGGCCTAGAAAGAGGAAGGGATGAGTTAGCGCTGGGGAGAGGGAAGGGGATGGGGACATGTAATGCAAATTTCATAAAAACAGGAAAACAAGTTAGGTGTTTGGATGATAGTTCACTCAATGCTGCTTTGATCGCCATTCTGACCTCTGGTCTGTCTGGTTGTCTGTTAATTCAACAGATTACAGATGGCATGCCCCTAATCTTCAGAGAAACAGTGAAATAATAGGCACTCTTTGCACTGCATGAAGCAATTTATTTCTTAAGATAGTCAAGCTAGTGCAGCCTGGGACATAAGCAGTATTTACAGAAAAGTCCAGGCTGAATGTGATTTCAGTGGCCATGAAACTAGGTGAATTGGCAATTGTTACAATGATTTATTTTGAATAAATACATTTTCTTGTTACACATGTCAGTCCACTCCTAACACATCTTATGTGACCTTGAGTAACCCACTTAACCTGCCTACACTTCAGTTTCACTGTCTGTGAGAGGGGATTCACATGTAAGCTTTAGGGGGTCTGAAGCACTGTGTTTTCTTCACTATTTCAAGAACTTGGCTCTTTCAGAGACATCGCAAATGTTCGTGTCTGGTGTTTTCTGATTTTAGATTTGTGACCCTTCACTACACAAAATTTCAAGGCTGAAGATTATGGTTTAAGTTTCCTGCACAACGCATACCTATCCTTAGAATTGTTTTGATATTTACTGTCTTCGAGCCACCCTTTAACACCTTCATATTATTAAAAGTGGCTTTACTAGTTAGTTCCTTTCTTTGATCAGTCAGCAGAGAAGGTTTTTCTATGGGCTAAAACTTGACAGCTGGTGTGATCAGAGTTGATAGTAGAAAAATAACCACATATTAAAGCCTTATTTGTTGTTCAAAAGGGGTCCAAGTGCAAAAGTGTGGGTTCATATTTCTGATTGAGTCCACGCTCCTCCAGAGTTTTGATGTGTGAGTGCATGTGGAAGTACGGGGTTCAGGTATTCTTGCTTTCAGGCTAATCTTTATTATTAGTAAGCCTGGGGCAGGATATTTGCATAGTGTATTTCTACCCTGCATCTCTTTATAAATACCACCAAGAGTAATTCTACTTCTTTGTTGTCAGTCCTTTCTGGCCAGGACTCAGTGTAAGACGAAAAGCAAAGGAAATGTCTGGCAATAATGTTATTCACCCCCCTTCACTAGGACGACAGTTAACGATCTTCAACACCCAAGCGCAAATAGCCATAGGAGGAAAGGACAGAGGGCGTCTCTTCCAAGGCCAACTCTCCGGTCTCTATTACAATGGCTTGAAAGTGCTGAACATGGCAGCAGAGAACAATCCCAACATTAAAATCAACGGAAGTGTCCGACTTGTTGGGGAAGTCCCCTCCATTTTGGGAACAACACCCACGACCTCTGTGCCACCAGAAATGTCTACTACAGTCATGGAAACCACGACCACAATGGCCACCACTACAACCCGCAAAAATCGTTCACCACCCAGCATCCAGGTGAGTCAATTGGGCTTCTGCATTTCCTTAGGTTCTTTCTTACTCTCTGTTTTGCAGCTCACTTGCAAGCTCAGGTTCTCCGAGTTAGGCTCCATATAGCTCTTGACGTTAATAATGTTGCGTAGGGTAAATTACCCCAGAATTTGTTGCCCTCCTGTGCTGGTGAACAAGCAGAACTGAATAAATAATTAATACCCATGTATGTAATAATGGGAACAGGTTTTGGTCTTGTTCTAGAGTAACCCCATTTATATAAGTAAGGTTGCATCAATGTGAATGAGAATAGGTTTTTAACCATGTTTGAATATGTGGGGAAATGTATTGCTAAGAGAGTTTCACAGCCTAGTGGGGGATGGGTGTATGGTCATTTATTATTACCACAGTATATACTGCTGCAACAGGGAAGCTCATAATGGGGAGAAAAGCAACGGAGCATTACTTTCAGGGTGAGCCATTTTTCATTTTTCTTTTACAGCCTTCCCTTAGATAGTTTTAATGGAACACTGTCAGGATCAGTTTCCTGCAAAATGGAGGTGTTCTAACGTTCATTTGTTCCAACATCTTTTATATAAATAATTTCTACAAAAAAAGGGAGTTTCAGATATTTTGGTTTAATTGTGCCAGTGTAGTGTTTTCAGCCCTAAAAATACAGTGGTTTTGGAACCATTTGTGTGGCAACCAGAATATGGAATTGATTAGAAATAAGCAGCTTAAATTGGCTTTTCTGATCAGATCAGATTTTTTAAATTATTTGTTTCAGCAGTCTTGTTAACATCATGTTAACAACTGAGGTGAAAGATTTGTTTTAAAATCCTTATTTACATCAGAACCTCTTCAGGTAGAAATCAGCATAGTGTCATTGATACCTGTGTACACTGGCTGAGACATTGGCTAGTGGTTATTAATAAGAAAGTGTGCCTTCATTAAACCCTCCGAGAAAGGTATATTGTTGTCTAATTAGATAAAATGTTTAAACGATTCCATCTGCTTCCCTGGAAAGATTTCTGCTGTTTAGGACAAATGAGCTTAATGAAATTAAGGAGTCAGAAATCTGGAGCCATACAGTCGTATGCCTGCTTTCTAACTGCTTCAGAAGGTTTCACCAGTTACTCGTTGTGTTTGCGTTTATATGGCCATTCTTTTTATTTTTAGTCTAATCTCGGTCACCCTGAAAATGTTCTTCTTAACTGTGTAGGAGGTCTCTCTTGCTGCAGTGGAATTTATATCTATTTGTATTAGAAGTAATTAATCTCAAGCCAAGGTTTAGCGTTGCCCCAACACCTTTGGCATTCGGTAAATCCAGTTGGCAGCAGAACCGGGATTAATTGAGTTATTAGCCTCAAACACGCAATGCGTGACTTATAAAGTCTCAGGTAAATGATGGGAAATAACCCCAGGTTTGGTCACTGATTGTCATAAACTGTGAAGGAATTACTATTCCTACTGCTCAGTGGCTAGCTCTAATTTTAGAGAAAATCTTGGTATGATTTCATCTCCAGAAGACTAAAGTCTTTGGTCCATATCCTGGTCTCATTACTGTAGTTCATTGGAGGTTTGCTATAATTTACAAAGGCAGCAGAACTATCTTTAGCTGTGGGAGTGTAACAGAGAGTAGCACTGTGCCTTTGTGGGCTGGGTGAAGCTGGAAATCACCCAACCTTCCTTGAAGAGGAACTCTTCAAGAATGCTTCCTGTCTTAGCTCTATGGCAGTTCACTGGGCCTGTAGAGACTGCTGTGTGCTGAAAGAGCATCAAGAAGATTTAATAAAAGTGTCAAAGTGCCTCTAAAACATGGTTAGAGCAATGATTTCCTGGATACACATGCACCACAACAAATGGCCTAATCTCAGCTGATATTAAAGCAATAACTCTTGACACTTCATGCTACCCACTGAAAGAAAGATAAAAGTCACTGTGTACCTCCATTACAACTTTCTGCATTTCAAAACCAGGCCATTTTCTTGCTGTCACAATGCAGGTTACTCTCCTTTCTTCCTTACTCTTGCCAGAATTTGATTCTGTCAGCTTAAGTTGCATTATTGGTCCAGTGAACGTGAGAAGAAATTGTCCTTTTCTATTTGGGCAGTATCTCCAGCTGCGCTTTTTAGATGCCTAATGGTTACTTTATCTCACTTGTGTTCAACATCACCATTGTCAAACGTGCTTAAAATTTTAGATCTAAGTGGTGGAAAAATCTAATAGAACAAGTTTATTCTTTGGGGAATATAAAGTATAGCCACCTAAGGCTATGTGCAGTACAAATACAGTTAGTTATTACCTTATCCTAGCTTTCTCTTCTCTTTCTCTCCTCAGAAGTAAACCATTTTTCTTCACTTTCAAGGCCTTTCACAGTCTAATCTCTTCCTTCTCCACCAGCCCATGATTCAAGCATTTTTTTACTCACTTGTTAAATTTGATTATGAGAATCCTTCTGCTTCCTGTTACTATCCACAAGGTAATATTAGGTTGCTCTTCTAATCCCCGTGAAACCCTGCATTAATCATGATGCATGCAAAAAAATTGTCAGTGGTTAGACTGATGATGTTCTAAAGCAGCTGTTTATCAAGCTGATCAAACATTGCCCTATTTCTCCTTTTCATATTCTCCATCTGTCTGTATCCATCTATGGTATCTTGTTTTATACTTAGATTGCAAGCTCCTTGAGATCAGAATGTGCTTGTATTCTACATGTGTACAGTAGGGTTCTGGTCCATCGTAGAAATATCAAGCATGATACAAGTAAGCATCTAATGTATAAGAGCAAAAATCAGGATAGATAGAGAACTACTATTCTTACTGCTAGAAATTTCCATGCTATTTTGTATTACTCATTTTTACATGTAAGTAATTAAAACTCCTCCCTTTCAGAATACATATAAAGCTTGTGCAGAATTTCAAGTCTCTCATCCTGACTTGATTTAAAAAAATGGGAATTTCAGTAGGATTTACATGTCACTTGTCAGGAAGTGCAGAATAGTATGATGACTGCAAAGATGTCTTCTATTTCTAACATACACCGAGACACCTGCTGTAGTTAGTGAGCCTGAGTACTGCCACTGCCTACTGTTAGACAAAAAACCTGGAAAAACAAAGTGCTTTAAAGATAGACCATATATATGCACTGACCAGTGACATCTTTTTCAATTTGTCGGAGTCCCCACAATAGGATAGAGTCTTGGACAAACATCTGAAACAAAGAGAAGTGAGAAAAGAATATCACTGGAAATATCATGTCACAATGATATTAGCGTGTAAAATGCCTATAACTTCATTATATCTTAAAATTTATGATATCATTTCTGCAAGGCAATGAAACTCAGATCAATGGAGGACAAGCAGGATTTGAGTGAGAAACAGTTGACGCATGGCTATATGTTACGGTATTTAAATCTCTTGATAGGAATGTGTCTGATTCAAATATCCTTCAGAGAGGCCTCGAAGGAGCATGACAGAAGCTGACTTTTTTCTGAACTGAAAATCAGAGCTAGAAAAGAAGTTTCACGTCTTGCTTGTTTCAGCGAGTTCGAAAGAGTGCTTGTGTTCTGCTGTCCCTGAGCACAAACGCTGATTTGACTTTCCCACACCTGGTTTTGTTCTGGATTCAAGCATAGGTCTGTTCAGAAGCGACATGTGTTGCATTAAATTACTGTTGCCAACCTCTTGCCCTGATACACCAGACTCTCCTGTAATGATAATATTCTCTCTGGGAGTTTGCTTTGCCATGTTATCCTACAAAGGCCACAAAGGCAAGCTGTTAGCTCTTGCTTATGGTAAAGGAGCGTGCCGTGCAGCCTGTTATTAGGTGGGAGTCACAAAGCTGTCTCGGGTCATATTCTAGCAGGACTGCCATATTTCTAGCAGGGTTTTTCATAATTAGAAGTCCTTGCTTCAATTGTTAAGCGTCCTAGAATCCTACACGCCTGTATTGCCTAATTTCAAATGCTGCTTCAATTGGTAGTGAAATAGTTGAATGGGTTCTGGGTTTAGGAGACTTCTATGGAAATGTGTTAAAGTGATATTCCTTCTCCTGGCTTTTGCTTCTAAGTCAGCTGCTTATATGCTCAGAATTTATTCAGTGAGTCACTGCTCAAAGCTTTTATAGGGAGATTTTCTCGATATGCTCTCAGATGGCATGTTCTGCCCAGCTTACAGCTAGGGTTATTCCATTTTAAAATGATATCTTTGAAGTTAATTAGGGAATAAAGCTAGTCTAAAAAGGCATGCACAGCGATACGGGCTTGTTCCATTCCAAACACCTTCAGTTCAGCAGACCCAAGATACGATTCAAGCTGGCGCCTGGACCAGTAGCAGATATGCTCCGGATTACCCTCTGGAGGATCTGAGGCCCGCTGACCTAGGGCAGGACCATAATATGTCTGCTTCATTGCATGGGTGGCTGAGGTCCCAAGACCGCAGCCACAGACAGTTTTCTGTGGAAAAGCGATCAGACCCTTCTGTGAGGACAGATTGACTTCTGACTCTGATGCTATCCGAGAGGAATCAGAAAATATGTGCTCTGCTACAGATCCAAAGCCTATCTCAATTTCTTGATCTTTAAGGTGGGGATAATGACACTTACCAGACTACTCAAACTGTACCTCGAAGGCTAAAGGAATAAATTGCTTGTGAATGTTTTCAAATATGATCTTAGTGCCATTGAATAACAATGTATGATACATAATAAACTGAACATTCTCTAAAGAATAGAGGAGAGGATCTGCCCATTATCTATATGGACAGTCCAGCCCCACTGGTGTGGCTCAGAATAAGATTGTCAACCTTTTACTCTACCATTAGGCTTTCCAGCCTTCTAAATGTGTTTTAGATTGAGGCTCTAATAATCTTGATTAATGTCTTTCCATAATGTGCCGCTCCAGGCTAGATGCTTTCTTATCGTGTATCATACAAAGGAGAACAGCACAGATTTGTCAGTCTAATTAGACTTTCACTGTCAGCTAAGACAAATACAATTGTTTCACCCTTGATTTTGCCTAGGTACT